TTGTTCCAATCTAAAATTCTATCCCTGGTTTAGATATACAAAGAATTAATACGCAGAGCCTTTCCAGAACAGAAGGGTTTCTGAAGGGATTACTTGGTCTTGAACCCTTTTCTGCTTTAATAACTGCAAACATAATGTGTGATCTGTCTTCCTTTTAGAGCAAAGCCGGAGAGATGATTTGGAAGCCCTAGGCCATATGTTCATGTATTTCCTTCGAGGCAGCCTACCCTGGCAAGGACTCAAGGTATCCTTGAAAGTGCTCAGTGGAGGGTTTTGTTTCAATGCTCAGTTGTTAATGAACAAGCTGCTGGCTAGATGTCTCTAAGAAGCACAAAGGGGAAGGTTGGCAACAGAAATGAGAAGCTGGGACTGGTTACATTAGTCTACATTACATTAGTCTACATTGTAAATTCTCACCTAGGCTTTGGGAGCTCTGTTTTGTTCACATTTGTCTTCTTTCCTTTTCATTTTTCCTAGATTTGGGATTTACCGTGTTCTTTTTTCTCATTCCCTCCCAGCCCTGGCAGTGCTGCTTTTTTCTGTGTTAATATTCCTCCTCCACTACCATTATGTAGCAGGAGGAGTGTTCCCAGTATTTCAGGGAATTTCTGAAACAAATTTATGACTGTAGCTACTGCACACTTTACCAGAAAGGCCAGCAGGGTGTGCCCCTCTGGGGAACTGGACAATATTTGTTCATGCTATGTAGGCTAAGGACCCACTGGAACTAAAATGAAAATCCAGATTTAATATTGCTGTTCAAGTATATTAGTGAATAAATGCCTATTCAGACAATAGCCATTACTTGCAAAATGTGTAGAGTTTAAATAGCCTTCCTTAGGTAGGTATCAGTACAGTGACTACATGTCAGAATTAACTATTAATTATTATAATTACAAGCATTATAATTACCTCTGCCTGTTAGACCAGGAGATGGTGGGCTTCTCACCCTTTTTAAGTCCCATTAGATAGTTAATTGTGAGACATATTTTTAGTTGTAATTTATTTCAACACGTTAATATGAAGAGAAACTTAATCTGTAGCTTGGAGTGCTCCTATACCCCCTACTCCCAGAAAGGCAGAATGATTCATTTTGCTGTACTTTCTGGGACATTGTCCTAAAAAGTAAGGCTTCAACCATTCCCCTTGAGATTTTATTTCTTTTGCCCTTAAATTCCTCTCCTGACATCTCCTTCATGATCTTCTCCTAGTCATATACATCTTCTCACGGATATTGACAGCTTTCAAATAGAGTTTCACATCCTTCTTGCTTATCATACAGCCAAACAATGCATTAGTGTATTGTTAATTGCTTAACTCTGTCATGGTTCATGAATCATTTTAGTGGTAGTCGTAGTTGTATTATAAAATTTCTCCAGTTTACTTCAGAACACTATTGCTTAAATCTAGGTGCAGCAGGCTAAGTAGATCCTGACAAGATTCCCTAGAGATCCCACTGTTGGTCCATGGTCCAGGAGCCCTCTGGCTACAGTTCTGAGTATACCAGACTTAGGCTGCCCTGAGCCTCTGAAATGCACCAAACCTATCTGTTAGCCATGCCTCTACCACAGATAATTTTTTTCTTTTCTAGAACCACATTGTTGAAAGGCATTTTTTAACTTCTTGGTCCTCACCCCCATTCAGCTTCTCAGTATCAGATTAGCAATACTTTTATCTTAGAGCTGATCTAAGAGGGAGAAAGCTGAATCACTGTTGGAACTCTAATGGCCATGGGAGATTAGTAAGCTTCTGCACTTTTGAAAATATTACTACATGTTTTAATTTTCTTATCCTAGCCACTCATCTCATTACATTTGATGGTGTTTATCTGAGACCATTAAATATTTTTGCAAGTAAAACTTTCCAGAACACATCAGATGTTTGTCCATATCTAAATATATCATCTCTACTGCGTTTCTTAATTGTTAGAGAGAAAAAAAATTGAATCTAACAAATCCTGCCAATTTGAGTGGAAACTGTATGTGAAAACATATTGAACTTCCCATACTTAGCACCTCTTTCTAAGTAACCTTCTGTCTTTACTCTTTACAGGCTGATACATTAAAAGAGAGATATCAAAAAATTGGTGACACCAAAAGGAATACTCCCATTGAAGCTCTCTGTGAGAACTTTCCAGGTAGGATGCTGAAGGGGCGCTTCAATGAGTGTGACTAAGCCTTACAGAGGTAGAGTCCATGACTTGGTATTTCTACATATGGGCGCTATTTAGCTAATTTACGTTTCCTTTTATTGTTATTCAGACCAAAGTAAGTTTTATCACTTTTATTTGGTCCATAGAGAAAACACCAGTGTCAAATAGTCTGTATAAATATCCCTTGACCCAGAGGTCCCCCCACCCCACTGGGAAGCATTCAGCTAATGAGCATTGCCTGTCTCCTCTCTCCTAACAGAGGAAATGGCAACCTATCTTCGATATGTCAGAAGATTAGACTTCTTTGAAAAACCTGACTATGAGTATTTACGGACCCTTTTCACAGACCTCTTTGAAAAGAAAGGGTACACCTTTGACTATGCCTATGATTGGGTCGGAAGGCCTATTGTAAGTATCTTCTTTTTACCCCATAACCTCCTTTCCCAGAACAGCACTGCCCTACCCCTTTACTTGCCAGTCTTTCTGCTTAAATATTTGGAAAAAAATACTCTTTTGATTGTAGACTTTATATTTACCAACCTTTTCATAGTGTTGCCCTAGGTTGTTCTCACTAGAGTTAGGAAGTAGGAATTATATATTCTTTAAGATTATGACTTGTGTATCCTAAGATACCAGAACTTAAGCCAGTTTTTTAGAAGTAGTTTCATTTCATTCAGAAGTTGGTGCTCCCGTATGCTGTTAAGGTGCTTGACTTCTATAGGAGTAGAACCCAGCACCATAGGAAGCTTTTGGATTTGTTGTTCTGGCCAGGGGTCCAAAGGGCCTGTGTATATGCTAACAGATACTCCGGTAGGATAGTTTTTTAATTTCAAAGGTAAGCTACTCTCCAATAAACTATTGAGGACCGGGCTGCCTCCCTTTTGCAGATCAGCAAAATGAGAAGACTAAAAGACCTGAAACTGCCTTGATGGCTGAAAATAATTACTGGTTACAATTGGAATTGGATTGATGCTCTCCTTTGCAGATGCATCAGGTTAGACCTGTTTTCCCCATTTGACTTTTTGTTTCATTTTTCTAGCCTACTCCAGTAGGGTCAGTTCATGTAGATTCTGGTGCATCTGCGATAACTCGAGAAAGCCACACACATAGGGATCGGCCATCACAACAGCAGCCTCTTCGAAATCAGGTATATGTTAATCCTTCATTCTTTCAAACATTCGCCTTCTTCATGGCTAATATTAAACCCAAATTCCCCAGCTTCTCTGCATTAGCATATATGTTAATACTAAAATTAGAGACGATAGGCTTGCCATTTCTTACTAGTGTAGTATGACATTCTAACAACCCTCAGGGCATATATAATTATACTGAGATGCATCCAGGCACCTCATGTGAAGCATCCAGTCTAGAGAATCTGGGCCTGTCAGAGACCGTTGGCTAAAGAGGGAACTGGCTATAAGTTAGGATCTAAGGCAGTTTGCGACAAGCCCAAAGGACTTGTTGAATGTACAAGATGTACCAGGTAGCCCACTCTGGGTCTCATCTGCAGTCTAGTCTGGAGCTCTTGCCAGTTCCGGTTTTTCCTTGTTGGTAAAAAGAGTGGGTAATTTGGACTTCCAGCTGGAAGTGAACTGGAACCTCCACACTACCCTTTGTCCCTATACCCAGGTTAGTTGTAGAGCTGGCCAAGATCTAAGATGGACCTGCAGTGAAGTCTCAGCTTTGCTGTAGGCCACTCCAGAGAAGGC